AGTTGTACTAATTATCGGGGAATTAAGTTGATGAGCCACACTATGAAGTTATGAAAGAAAGTGATCGATCAACGCCTGCGAGGAACGACGCAGATATCAACAAACCAATTTGGTTTCATGCCCGGAAGGTCAACCACATAAGCAATCTTCTTAATAAGACAGGTTATGCAGCGGTTTAGAGAGCAGAAGGACCTCCACTTGGTTTTCATTGACTTGGAGAAGGCTTATAACAAGATACCAAGAAATGTTATGTGGTGGTTTTTAGACAAACATAAAGTCCCATCAAAGTACGTGACCCTCATCAAGGATATGTACAACAATGTTGTGACTAGTGTTCGAACAAACGATGGTAACACAGATTACTTCTCGATTAAAATTGGACTTCATCAAGGGTCAGCCTTAAGCCCGTATCTCTTTGCTTTGGTAATGGATGAGGTTACCAGGAACATACAAGGGGATATCCCTTGGTGTATGTTGTTCGCTGATGATGTAGTGTTAGTGGACGAAAGCCAGGCGTGAGTAAATAGGAAACTAGAGTTATGGCGACAGACCCTTGAGTCTAAAGGTTTTAGATTGAGTAGAACTAAAACCGAATACATGAGATGCGACTTTGGTGGAGTTGTACAGGAGGAGGGAGATGTGAGTTTGGAAAGTCAAGTAGGGCCTAAGAAGGATACCTTTCGGTATCTGGGATCGATGCTACAGAGGGATGTAAATATTGATGCGGACGTTAGCTATAGAATCAAAGCAGGGTGGATCAAGTGGCGACAAGCTTGTGGCATTCTCTGTGACAAGAGGATACCACAAAAGCTAAAAGACAAGTTCTATAGAACGGCGACTAGACCGGCTATGTTGTATGGAGCAGAACGTTGGCCTATAAAGATTCGACATGTTCAACAACTGAGTGTTGCAGAAATGCGTATATTGCGATGGATTTGCGGTCACACAAGAATGGACTGAGTTCGGAACGATGATATACGTGATCACCTAGAGGCAGCACCAATTGAAGAAAAGCTTGTCCAACATCGGTTGAGGTGGCATGTCCAAAGGAGACCTCTAGAGACACCAGTGCATTGTGGAGTCCTAAGCCAAGCTAATAATATGAGGAGAGGTAGAGGAAGACCGAAATTAACATGGGGGAGGCAATAAAAAGATATTTGAAAGCTTGGGATATACCTAGAGATCTATGTTTGAATATGAGTACTTAGAAAGCAGCTATTGAAGTGTCTGAACCGTAACTTGGGGCTCTTGGTGGGTTTCAACTCTAGCCTACCCCAACTTGCTTGGGGCTGAAAGGCTATGTTGTTGTTGTTGTTGTTTTAATGATGCTTAGGGCAGTGCAGTTCATCAGCATTGCTGCTGTATTTGTTCCATTGTATAGCCTTTAAAACCATGCTTCTCTGCTTTTCAAAAAGACCTTGCATGAGTATGATTGTTCTTATTTATTTTGTAGAATGTAGTTTTTTTTCTACCTTTTCCTCTAAGAAGCCCCTGAATTTACATCTAGCAGCTCATTGCATCGATGTAATTCCATCAGCTCTCTCAAGTGACTGACCGCAATATATGGTCTTCTGCAGGTCTTTAAGATCTTCAATGAGGGAACATCTACTTTTGAGCAATTTATTTTGACCTTAAGATCCACAGTTGGTGCTCAAGTTCTTGTAGACGCAATTGGAGTTGGCAAGGGAAAATATGACCTGACAGGATTTGCATTAGATCCTAGTAGAAATCATGGTATCTCAACACGCCCAGAAATCCCTGTTGGCAAGGCTTGCTCAGCACTTTCATCTGGAGATATCATAAAGTTTTTGACTGGTGATTTCAGACTGAGCAAGGCAAGATCGAATGATCTATTCTGGGAGGCTGTCTGGCCTCGCTTGCTTTCAAGGGGCTGGCACTCAGAGCAGCCTAAGGATTCTTCACCAATTGGAAAGCATGCTTTAGTCTTTCTGATTCCAGGTGTAAAGAAATTTTCTAGAAAGAAGCTTGTCAAAGGAAATCATTATTTTGATTCTGTTAGTGATGTCTTGAGCAAAGTTGCATCTGAACCAAGGCTGCTTGAATTTGGAGTTGAGCGTGGTAATGATGACAGTGGGATTAAGCATGAAAATGGATGGAGCCATGATTCTGAATCTGACAGAAACATACTTCCTAACAAGAAACCTTCATGCTATAGCCGTCCCACTGAGCCTGGGTGTTCTCCAGAGCTAATGAAATTTACTGTGGTGGATACCAGTCTTGTTCAAGGGGAAGAACCTTCTAAGGTGAGATCACTAAGAAACCTACCAACAGATTCCAGTCAAGGTTACATGTCTTCACCACATTCTGGAGGTTCTGGGAGTGACAGCTCAGAGGAACACTCAGATTCTGAGGACAGCTCTCAGCCTTATGAACATATAATTACTGATGATCAAAGGACAACTGATGCAAAGTATGCTAGTGAGGAGAGAAAAAGTAAGCCCCCAACAGCTGATAAGGTGGATTCTAGTGCAATTCAGAAGTCTGCTTCCTCAGGCACATTAGTGTCGATCAATGGTCATATTTCAACTGATCAAGGTTTCAGCACAATGAATAATGTATCCTCTTCAAACGCAACTATTCTTCCTGTTGATTTTCAAATGGTCCATGCTCCTACTACTTCCACTGAAATAAGCTTTCAGTTTGATCAAAGGCTTAATGCTGAGTCCCAAATTTTCTTAGCACCTTTTTCAAAAAGGAGGAGGTTAGTTTCATCCAAGACTGAAAGAACTGGTCGCAAGAATACAGCCACCAATGAAAACCATCACTGGAAGCAAGTTGACGAGCCAGTGCATCATGATGCATCTGGACAAAATGAAGCAAGTGGGCCCAAATCTTTTGTATGGGGTGCAACTCCAAGTTCATCAACTAACATTTCCTTTGAAGTGAATAACAAGAAACCGTACTGCAGACAGCTTGACAACGTGCTCCCTAACGCTGAAACAATGGTTTACAAGGAAACATGCCAAAATAGGCATGTCATTGATCTTAATATCCCACAAATGCCTTCTGATTTTGAGTCAACTGTGAGCTACATCGTCCCTCCATCTGACAAAAATGCAGAAACCATGGTCAGACCTCAGCGTACTTCAGGAGCTGAGGAGGTGACTGGCCGCCTTCCAGACATAGATGCCTCTAGTGATGTGCTCTATGATGAGCTTTCTTTCAACTCAAGAAGACATAGTAGCAGAAGCCGCCCACCAACAGCTCGAGCTCTGGAAGCTCTTGCCTGTGGCTTTCTTGGGACCAAACAGAAGGGCAGGGAGGCAAGTTTCCCATCTTCAAGCAGGAGCAGCAGATCTGTTCGGCGACCACGAAGATCACTTGATGTTGCACTGCCATTTCCTTCTGAAGGCAAAGAATGTACTTCTCGTTTTCCCGATCCACCCATGGATGTCAACGGATGGCGGATGAATAATCCTCCATACCAAATGATTCACAGCAGCTCCTCTGATAAATCCACAGAAAAAGGTAGCCCTGACTTGTTTGGAGCAGACGAGTCTACTGATAAAGGAGTTCATGAATTGTTTGGCATACCTTAGATCACATGATAGTAAGGTCGATCCTATCCTGCTATAGCTTTGGATTAGTCAACCTTTATTGAATGGATTGCTGCTGGTCGATCCTATCCCATGGGTACTGCTTGTTCAAACTTTAGTTTGTTGTTGAGAAACAAATGGAAGAAGCTTATACAGCTGAGGTTTCTGTTTCATCTATAGTTTTGTGCATACCTATTTGCCTAAATATTTCAGTCTTGATACTTAACAAGAACAGATGACACCAACGAACTACAAAGATGTGATCGACGATTCGTTTTGCATCGGCGCTTCATCCTCCAGTGGCTTATCAAATTTTATGTGATAGAATCATGTGCTTCTTGTTCGGAAGCCTATGATGTGTCTTTTACCTTTTTCTTTGAGATTTTATGATTAAACTTTACTGAGAGTTATACTCTTGCTTTTTATTACATGTACTATGTGGGGGTAGCTGAACAAGTGTAATAGCGCACCGTATAAGAACTATACCTGAACTAAACTTGAGAGTTGAGACTGTATCTCTGTCGACAAGCCCAGAAGACCTAATGTTCTAAGCTTGTGAAAATGCATATGTTCTCATCGTACTTGCGAAAAGTCTGTATACTCATGATCTGTTTTGAGGTTAAGAGTTTCTACTTGCTAGGTTAGATCATTATTTTCCCGTGATCTAAGTTTGGTGTATGCTACAAGATGCATCTTCTGGTGGGTATCTTTTGGGTTACCAGCTATTTCTTCGTTTGGCACCTAGAAACTACAGCTCCTTTGAAACACTGGACACATTTTTGGCATAATGCTTTCTTGTGATGATCATAAGTCTTCTGCATATTTTTGGCGTAATGCTTTCTTGTGATGATCATATAGGTTTGCTTGCTTTTGTGACCTACACTTGCTTTTTCCTAAATTTCACGAGACTTGTTTTTCCCAGACACCATATTTCAATGCCTTAGGTTTCAGTTGCACCTGCTCAAACAATACTTGTTTGGAGAAAATCATCCCACTGTAGATCGGAAAACTACTTTTTATTACGCAAGAGGAATTACAACAAGAGTACTACAATTTCTCAATGCAGAAATAGTTCAAATAATGAAGTGATGGCTCATACACCTGAACATTTTTTTGAGGGGTTACCTCAACACATATCTTATGTGTTTAATGGTTCAAAGAATAGTTGTGCCTACACATTGGCCTGCTTTTGGGCGATCAAAATTGAATAAATGGAAACTCAACAGGCAAAACTAGCAAAGCCTCTTGGCTTCAGAAAGCATTTCCCAGTGTAGGTGTCGCTGATCGTGCTCTCACCACTGGATTGGCTCTGTACATGGTACAGACTACCACGTGATCCCTTTATGTTTATGCTCAGGCTCAGCGTGGTTAGATCTTAGATGTGCCTTGAACATTGATCACATCCCTGGTGACGCCCATTATTTAATCATAATGTGCATCTAGTTACCGTGGAAGCGAGGGCATTGTTTGTAAATGTCCCTTAGTTGAGTCGATTCGCGCCGACCCTGATGCAAACATCTTCCTGTCAATGGACAGATAGCGGTTGGAACCCAGAGTCCCAGTGCTTTCGATGGACCTCATGTACTCAGAAGCATTGTTCTCAATGATCAGAGCGTCCTCCAGCTCCCTGAGGACATCCTCCATGGTTGGCCTGAAGGTTGAGAAGGGCTCGGTACATACAGATGCAACCTCGAGCACTCTCCACATGGCCTCTGAGCAATATTGCCCTTTTATGCCAGGGTCCACCATCTCTTCGATCTTGTACTCCCTGATGTAAGGTTTTGCCTGCATGGCGCGGATGAACGTAAGATTATTTTTGGACTCTGGAGCTGAAATATATCATTTGTTTTTCAAAACTACTATGATGAATATAGAGTAGTGCCAGCTTCCAAACAGATGATGTTACAAAGTACAATGGATGATTGTAGAGTGCTTACTAAAAAAAAAAATTGATTGTAGAGTGCAGTGTGAACTTACCCACTCAACTAAGCTCCATTCAGCACGAGGCCTTTTGACATCAAGAGGTTCTCTTCCCGTAACAATTTCTAACAGGACTACTCCAAAACTGAAGACATCGCTTCTGGTTGATAACACCTGAGTGGAATAGTATCTAAAAGAAAAGAAAACAACACCCAAACATGATGAACATAATGTGAAAGATTTGATACAGGTGATGATCTAGCATATCAACTAGTAACATATAATATTGTGGTATAAAGGACGTGGTCTACTTATATCTAATGGATGGGAACCTTGTCATTTTGGACAACTTACTCCCAGGATAATGCTATGTTCACGTTAATAGAAAACATTTAAATTTCACTCAACTTTCTTACCAAACAATATATTGTTCTATCTATTTAAATCACCACTATTCCGTTATTTTCAACTTACAGTCTTCCAGCCCTTTTCCACTGTTTCCAAAGTGAAAGAGATGAGAGAACTTACTCTGGGTCCAAATATCCAGCAGTTCCCCTCACTTCCATTGATGGATTGCTGTCACCTTCCTGTGGTGCATACTTGGAAAACCCAAAGTCAGCAACCTTGCCACACATGCTGTGATCCAGAAGTATGTTGCTTGATTTAATATCTCTGTGTATGATACAACGCCCAGCAAAATTGTGCAGATATACTAGCCCTGAACAAGTAGAGCAAAGGTAAGATCATAAAGTAACATGGCATGTCTTTCAATTGCATGAATATTATTTAGTTCAATCCCATTGTAGAAGTGGACTGAGTTTTTTCTTTTTTTAAAAAACTTGTACCTCTAGCAGCACCAATGCAAACAGACAGTCTCGTGGGCCAATCAAGAACTTTTCTTTTTGATGCCTCACCTACAGAATGAAAAAAATTATAATAAGGGTCTTCCAACTGATTTTTTAAAAAAAAAAAACTATGTGAAGCTTGATACCGTAGAGGCGATCTTGTAGTGAGCCATTGGACATGAACGGATAGACCAATATCTGTTGATCTTTTTCACAGCAATAGCTGATAAGTGGGACTAAATTCTCATGCCACACAGCAGAAAGAAGTCTTAACTGCACTTGTGATTAGGGGAAAATTATTAAACAGATATGTATGGTAAAAATAAAAGAATAGAACTAAAGGAAGAAACAGGGTTGATGCCAAATTTGACCACATCATAGAATATAGTTATTATGGAATATTTTGCAAGATATGGCAGCAGCAACTGAAGATAACTTTGCAGACAAGATTGTGACACGACCAAATGCCACATCCATGATTAAGAACAAACTCTTCCCCACGAGATTCATTTATGCCAGTATAGTTTTCTTCAGAAGAAAAAAATGATGCTAATGTGGGTAGAATTGGTCTGTACCTCATTGTTAAACTCACGTGTTCCCTGTGTCGATGAAGTTGAGCGGACTTTTACTGCAACTTCTTGCCCATTTGCTAATGCACCTCGATAAACTGATCCAAACCCACCCTCTCCTATCAAAGTTTTGAAGTTGCCTGTTGCAGTCTGGATTGATTTGAGGGACAACTGTTGTATTGCAGGGTTTGTAGTGTTATCAATGCTGCATTCTTGAAAAACAGGATCTGCATAGACCAGTGTAAAACAAGCATTGACTTATGTATTAGGTATTTAAGCCATGGATGCACAGAAGAATGAAACATTTGCACTACTTTCTTCTTGCTAGTCTCCCACTGAAATCAAAATTGAATGAGGATTCTGTTCAAATGGTTTTCATGGCATATTATCATTGGTGTGCTTCCTTTCTTTTACTCAATCATATAGCTTCTGGTAATCGTACATGACATCTTAGAGGTTATACATTGCACAAAAGGTCTGTTTCATCCACCAAATAGGAAAATATAAAGGATTCTGATTTCAAATGTACAGAGAAATTTTATTGATGTATGCAAGACTGCACAGCATGATCGAACAATGTACGGTGCAAGACATCTACTATCTGACTTTAGCAGCAGGAGACATACTTGTTGTAGAAGAGCAGTCCTTTTTTGGAGAACGCCGTTCACGTTTGTTAAAACAAACAAAGAACGATCCGAGTGCAACAGTACATGCCAAAGATCCTCCAGCGACACCACCAATAACAAATACTTTCTGACTGGCAACTGCAGGTGGGCTTTGGTACTCTTCAGCAGGTGAGCTATAGTACTCTTGGGTAGCACATCCTCCATGGCTTTTCAATTTTCAGAAATAATAAAGGATAGTAAAATTATGTTTCCGCCACATATGACAAGAAAAGTTGAACATCATAACAGAATTTCACCTGAAATTTACGCCACTAGAAAATCCATCAGGCTGCTTATTGTTCAACAAGGGGTTGCAAATCACCGACCTGGATTAATTAAATGACAATGTTCAGTTAGATCTTTTTGGTAGAATTTATACAAATTATCCACGTGATGTAAGAAGCATATGTTATCAAATGGAAACAAGATGTTCTGAATTGGATGGCAAAATCTAGAATTGCTTACTGATTCGATTGAAGCAATCATCTTTGTAACATAAGGAGAAAAGACAGGAACAAGGTAGCATGTACTTACAGCTTTCGCAGGTGTCTGAGAGCAGAAAATGATGCCGGAATAAATCCAGTGAAGTTATTATACTGAAGATAACTGCACCCACAGCAGTAAGAAAATAAAGTCAACACCTAGCAAATGCAAAGCATGAATTCACATGAAAGCAGACAGCGAAACATACATGTCATTTAGCTCCGTCAAGTTACCAATCGCTGCAGGAATTGGCCCTTGCAAGTTCTTCGAAGAAAAGTTCCTACGCAAATCGCAAATACCAGCCTATCACAGTTCTGTTCAATTCAACACCAACTCACAAATGCAATGCTCTATCAAAAAGGTAAAGAAGAAACTCAGAAAGGCAAGGACTATAGGAGCGACATAGAAGGATCCGAATTCACAGCGCAAGAACAACAAATCCCAGATTAGCAGCAAGGAAATATAGGTGTTGCCGGCGTGTTCTCAAAACTACGTGTGCGTGCTGAGCAAACGTCCACATTTTTTGGTGACCACTCACAGCTTGACGACGACCTGGGCACCATCCTTGGGTTCGCAAGAGAACCCTTCCCAAGTAGGTGGAGAACACGGGTCCCCGTTCCATGATTCGAGCATCTCATGCCCACGGTTCCTCTGTGACAGCTCCTCCTTCAATCGTTTCGCAACATCCGCTGTGTCAAAGTCAACAGAAAATCCCACCATCACATCAGAAAGAAGCACAACGACACAACCGAAGCATTGAATTTGGAAGGAAGCAGCAGTAAGTCACGTCAGTCAGATGCAAAAACAGTAGCCTGCCGTGTGCACGCAAAATCCGGTCGTTGATGCAATCCACCAAACATTCCAGCGGCACTCAGGGCGCGCGAGCTGATAATCAGAACGTGAAAAAAGGATTCAATCATGACGGCAAGACTCTACCTTGAGTGAGGCCGTGGGACGGCGCGGCGGTGGCGAGGGCCAGGAGCAGCGCGTAGAGGAGGAGGGAGCGGGCGGCCATACCATGGGGGCGTGGCCGCTACCACCGCTGCCGGCCGGCAGGCGGAAGGCAGGGAGCTTGGAGGTTGGAAAGGGTCAGCAGTGGGGCGGTTGATTGGCGCGTTGTTTTGTAGCGTCGCTGCTTGTCTGCTGGCGCTCGGCACGGCCGTCGACAGCGACGGCGCGCTTTTCTTTCGCTGCACCTGCACTGCTTCCGGTGCGTCATCGATAGTTGCCCCAGGCCCGGATATTCTTAGGCCGTGTATGCTCACGGGGGGTGGGCGCTACGGTACAGGCTTGACCAGCGTCAGCGAGATGCTCCTTCGCTCTGGTTGAATTTCAGAGAGGGGAAGGGTGAGGGAGAAATGTGTCAATGTGTGTGTTTTTTAGTATTGTTATTAGACATTGTCGGCAGCTTACCGATCTTAAGAGGAACACCAACCCGTCTGATCTGGGCCTTGTTGAGATCACCTCCAAATTCCAAGTTTTTTCACTTTTTCTTCATCACATCAATTTTTGGACGTATGTATGGAACATTAAATGTAGGTAAAAAAAATAACTAATTATACAGTTTGATTGTAAATCACGAGACGGATCTTTTGAGCCTAGTTAGTCCATGATCGGACAAAATTTGTCAAATACAAACGAAACGTGCTAAAGTGTCCGGTTGCAAAAATTTACAATCTAAATCAGGCCCTGACGTAGAACTTGTTTCTTTCAAAGTCGTTTCTCCGATCTGCCTTTGACCTGGAGCACAAAAACAAATTGAACTAGATAAACGCGATGAAAATACGGCACCTCTCTTGTTTGCAGCAAGTTCAGTTTCGCACCTTGGCATACTACCGGACTTTGGGACGGATGGATTGAATATTGATTTTTTTTTGAGTGGAGGATGGATTGAATATTGATGCCTACGGAGCAATCCTCGTTTCAGAGGAAAAAGTTCATTTTATTTTTCTCGAACTATCCTCAAAGTCTAGTTTTCCTCTCTAAACTCTAAAATCGGGTAAACCATCTCCCTCAACTTTTAAAACCGTTCATTTTACCTCCATGACCCGGTTATAGATGGTTTTCAAAGACGATTTTGTCTTTTTCTTTTTTTATTTATTTCGGCTGAATTTTTTAAAAATCATAGTAAATCACAAAAAATCATAAAATGGAAAGTCCAATTTTCTTGGACTCCACATGAGTAGATCTACACATTAAATATGTAATATAGTATGCTTTAGTACATAGTTTTTGCTGTAGCTTTAGATATATGTTTTTCTATAATTAATTCAAAGTTGCAGTTTTTATGGTCCAATTATGGTAAAATTTTTATGATGATCTAATTATTGTATGTTTTAACTTTAGTAAAAAGTTCATACTCATTTCTATTTTTACACACTTTTAACTATTTTAAAACTATTTAACAAGCATAAAACTAAATAAATCTATAACTTATTTATACATGATCTAATGAGCATGAACTTTTTACTACAGTTCAATCATATAATAATTAGCCCACCATAAAAAATTCACCACAATTAGACCATAGAAACTGCAGCTTTGAATTAATTATAGAAAAACATAGATCTAAAGCTACCATATTATATGTTTACTATGTAGATCTACTCATGTGGAGTCCAACAAATTTAGATTTTCCATTTCATGATTTTTCTGTGATTTACTATGATTTTTCAAATATTCAGCCAAAATAAATAAGAAAGAAAAAGACAAAACCGCCTTGAAAAACCACCTATAATTGGGTCAGGGAGGTAAAATGAACGGTTTTAAAAGTTAAAGGTGGTGGTTTACTCGATTTTCGAGTTCAGAAGGAAAACTAAACTTCAAGGATAGTTCAGGAAGGTAAAATGGATTTTTTCTTTCAGTGAAGCACGTTGGAAGCCGACCCATGGCCCAACACAAAATGAGCTTTGGTGGCTATTGGGCCTTTTCTATTTTGTACTCTTATATTGGCCTTTAGGGCATGTTTGCTACGTTAATACTAAAAATTAGCAGCTAAAATTAGTACTAGTATATCCAAACAGACATGCTAATAAAACATTCTAATTATTAGTTGGAGGATTGCTAACTATTATTTCTATTAGCAGGTTTAGAGTTGCTAATAGATATCAATAGTTCATTTGCACCTTCAACTCACTATGCAACCGCCTATTAGCAGGTGGATCTAAATAGACCCTGCTAAATATTAGCTAGCTAAAAATTAACAGTTATTAGCTATTAATTAGCTAATTTTTAGTGCTAAGAGCAACTCCAGCACTAGCCCAAAATAGAGCCCCTACTTTTTATAGGCCATGTTTGTTTTTTAGAATGCACTCCAACAGTGTCCCTCAAACTAGAGTCCCCAAATTTCGCCAATGACACATGGATCCGGTTTTCATAGACTAACTTGGCTAGGATCCGAAGGGGAGTCGTGGTAGGGAGCGTCGTGGCGTGGGAGTCACTCGTCGTCGCGGGGAGCGGGGAAGTGGCATGGGAGTCTATGTCGTCCCTGGGAGTGTCGAAAGTAGTAGATCCGATGGGAGACTGAGGGAGCGTCGTTACGAGGAGCAAAGGGAGCGCCGTCGCAAGGAGCGAAGGGAGCGCCGTTATCCAGGCAGTTGCTTCGCTCTCTGCGCCGCAACCCAGAGAGGAGGCCGCTTGCCACGTCGCAGCCCAGAGTGGAGGCCCAGCGTCCTCGCGACCAGCTTTGGCGCGCGCCGCTAGGAAGCAGCCGAAGATGGGTCGGGAGCCCCTCTTTGCCGGGGAGGCCTCGCCACCGGGGAAGCCCCCGCACATCGACGGCGACATCTACCGAGGGAAGGGGAGGGGAGGGGCTATGGGAGGGAGATCCTGCCAGAAGAAAGGGAATGGAGGTGCAACCGGAGAGAGGGAAGGCGCTGCCGCGCTGGGGCAGGCCTGGCACCGACCGTCGGCGAGCTAGAGGCTAGCAAGCTGCGGTGCGTAGGGGGTTCCGGCTGCGGGCAGGGAAGAAACCGGCCAAAACAGCCTTCTAGGGTCCTAGAGCTGAGCCAACAAGAATAGGGTCTAAAGGGAGGATTTAGGTGCCCAGCCAAATATAGGGTCTGTAGTAGGAGCCCTGCTGGAGTGATGTTTTTGTCCTGAACACCTATATTTAGCTATGAGGGCTATCAAGCAGGGGCCAGCTGAAGTTGCTCTAATGGATCCAAACATGTCTTTAGCTTGGTCCAGCCCATGATAGTTGGTGGACAGGGCTTAAATAGTGAAATGCAAACCTGAAAGCTTTTTCTCTGCTGAGCATGGTACAATATATTTAGTTGAATTATTTTCACCTTAAAAAACAACGTGAGAAAATCAGCCTCACAAAACCCGTGGGATGGCTGTGGGCACGATTCCCCCTAAAAAAGGAGCTTTATGGCCGGCTAATCTAAGTAAGACAAGTCTTGCGCTCTTATTTGTAAGGAGAGGATTAATTATAAGAAAACTCTTGAGCTTTGTGGTATGGTTAATTTAAATTTATTTCGGGTCTCTTTATGTTAAAATACTTTCCCTATTTAAGCACTCAACCCCCCTTCTTCTGCCCCCTCCTCGCTCAAATCTGATCGGTCGAAGAAATTCTTTTCCACCTAGACTTTTCTTGCGCAAATCGATTGTGAGGAATCAGGTTGGTACAAGAGCGAACAAGGATTTCGCTGGACGTTAACACCCCATCTCCTCTAAACTCCTTCAATTCCTTATTTGGACTTTCTCTGTGTTGTCTTTGCTAGTTGTGGGGAATCGAGCGACAAGGTACAACCTCCTCTTCTTCAACCCCCTCCTCGCTCAGATCTGATCGGTCGAAGAAATTCCTTTTTGCATAGACTTTTCTCGGATAGATCGATTGTGAGGAATCAGGTTGGTACAAAAGTGACCAAGGATTCTGCTCGACGTTAACGCCCCATCTCCTCTAAACTCCTTCAATTCCTTATTTGGACTTTCTCTATGTTGTCTTTGCTAGTTGTGGGGAATCGAGCGACAAGGTACAACCCCGTCTTCTTCCATCCCCTCCTCACTCAGATCTGATCGGTCGAAGAAATTCCTTTTCGCCTAGACTTTTCTCGCACGGATCAATTGTGAGGAATCAGGTTGGCACAAGAGCGAACAAGGATTTCGCTAGATGTTAACGCCCCATCTCCTCTAAACTCCTTCAATTCCTTATTTTGACTTTCTCTGTGTTGTCTTTGCTAGTAGTGGGGAATCGAACGACAAGGTACAACCCCCTCTTCTTCCACCCCCTCCTCGCTCAGATCTGATCGATCGAGAAAATTCCTTTTCGCCTAGATTTTTCTTGCGCAGATCGATTGAGAGGAATCAGGTTTGTATAAGAGCGCACAAGGATTTCGCTATCATTAACACCCCATCTCCTCTAAACTCCTTCAATTTCTTATTTGGACTTTCTCTGTGTTGTCTTTGCTACTTGCGGGGAATCGAGTGACAAGGTACACGGAAAAGCGAACAAGGTGACAGAGCATCATCTCTATATCACAAGATTTTCCATCATGCCTAAGTGGGGATAATCTACTGGAGTCAAAAGAGCCTGTTGAATTTAAAGCTGAAAGTGATGCGCAACAACTTACACTAATTGGAACCGTATATACTGTAGCAGATGAGTTATTGCCAGCTGCTGTATCCAAGTTCTTTGACATGCAAGCTGAGAAGAAAGGAGCTGGTGGATCAAGCGAAGGCCTTGGCCCTGGGCCCATATATGCCATGGAATACAAAGAGTGGAAACGTAATTTGCAGCATTCATTGGACAAACTGAGGGATCACTTCTGCCGACAGTATGTCTTATCTTTTATTTACTTGGAAGGGAAGTCACGATTGGATGCTAAAATGTACTTGGGACGGAAAGACGATGATCTTTTATCTGATCCTGATCCCTTGCCTTCACTGCCCTTCCAGGTGATTGTATATTTAATTTTTTTTCGCGACCATGCCTAAACACATTTTCATTAAGAGGGTAATTGCATATTTGAATTTCAATGATTTGATATCAAATGTTTACATATGGTACTGATG